GATTTGATAACACGTCCTATTTTAGTGTCATCAGCAAATTTACTTATGTTGCTGTCTATGCCGATATCTATGTCGTTTATATATATAATAAATAATAATGGTCCAAGTACTGAGCCTTGGGGAACTCCACTTGTGACGTTGCTCCAATGGGACTAAGTGCAGTTAATGCTCACTTGCTGTTTCCTGTCCTGTAACCACGCCCTAATCCATTTAAGGATGTCACCTTTGATGCCATGAGCTACCTTTCTAATTAGTCTTTCGTGGGGGACTCTGTCGAAGGCTTTGCTAAAGTCGAGATATACCACATCATAATTGTGCCCTTCGTCCACCGATTCGAAAACTGATGAAAAGAATGTTAATAGATTAGTTAGGCAAGAACGTCCGCTTGTGAAGCCATGCTGGGAATCATTGATCAATCCGTGCTTCTCCAGGTGATTTCGAATAGAGTTTGAAATGATTGCTTCCAGTAATTTGCCTACTATTGATGTTAGACTGATTGGGCGGTAGTTAGAGGATAGTGATCTATCCACCCTTCTTGAAAATCGGTATTACATTCGCTATCCTCCAGGATTCTGGTACTACACCTGTTTTTAAGGACATGTTAAACAACTTTGCTAAGGGCATACTGAGCTCTTCCTTACATTCCGTTAATACTCTGGCAAATATCTCATCGGGACCAGGTGACTTATTAGGCTTTAGTTTGTCTATTTGCTTACTAACATCGTTACTCGTCACTACTATCTCACTTAATTTGTTTTCTTCACTATCTCTGAATAGAGTCGGTGCCTCGGGTATCATATTTAAATTTTCGGTGGTGAAAACTGTTGAAAAATATTGATTCAAATTATTGCTCATTTCTCCGTCGTTATCAGTGAGCTCTCCGGAGTCTGACCGTATTGGTCCAATCTTTTCTCGTGTTTTAGTTTGATACATTTGGTAGAATCCTTTGGGGTTTGTCTTCGCCTCCCTTGCTATCCTTACCTCATTATTCCTCTTTGCTTTCCTTATCTCGGTTTTAACCCTACTCGCCAATACCCTATAATAGTCCGGAGGTGAATTTCGCCACGATTTATCCTTCTACCTATAGCCTTCCTTTGGCCAATGATGTTCTTTAAATAATTATTTATCCATTTAGGGTCATTGTTGTCTGATCTGAGTTTTTGTATGGTATGTTCTGCCTTTGTGCATTAAGTAACTCACTATTTAAATTGTCGTGGAACTCGGCAATGTCAGATCTCGTTATCAGGTCGGTGTCATCTGTCAGGTTCATGGCCAAGCGACACCCCCTCTCTCAGCTGCCTCTTTAAACTGTCAAAGTTTGCCCTTCTGAAATCTGGTACTTTAGTGGAATTTTCCTTACGTCTGCCCTGAAAATCTAACTGGAATCGAATTTCTTTGTGATCGCTGTTTGCAAGTTCGTTCCCTACCTCGACATTGCTAATGAGGTTTTCTCTGTTCGACAGAACTAAATCCAGTATATTATTACCCCGTGTGGGTTCGGTTATATGTTGACTTAGGAAACAGTCCTGGATCGTCTCGAGAAAATCCTCTGATTCTGAGTTCCCGTAAGGTCAGTCCAATCTATTTGGCCAAGGTTAAAGTCGCCTACTATACAGACTTTGTTGTGTATGGAAGCCCTGCGCATTTCATCCCAGATAAGTCGCTCATTGGCGCTATCAAGATTGGGAGGTCTATATATTACTCCTGTGATTAATTTTTCCCGACCGTCACTTAATTCTATCCAAATTGTTTCTGTATTCCTCTCAGTTTTTATTTCCTTATTTATTTCACACTTCAGATTATCCCTAACATAGATTGCTACTCCGCCTCCTTTCCTGGTCTGCCTATCGGTATGGAACAATTTGTAACCCGCAATTTGGTATTCGACTGGTAATTCACGTGTTTCTAGGTTGATCCATGTTTCAGTGAATGCAATTATATCTATTTTATCGGTACTTACCAAGGCCCTAATATCATCCATTTTGTTTCTCATACTTCTACTGTTCGCGTAGTATACATTTAAGTTAGTCGTGTTCTGAGTCCTCCCCTTACCGCATTTTGTTTTAAACTCCCTGTCTAATTTAGTTTTGTCATCATTCGTAACACTATTTCCCTGTAATCTTTCGCCTTGTTTACCCACTCCCACTGCAGTCTCCTCCACCCCCGTGCCCATATGTTCTCTTAGCAGTTTAAAGACTTCGATATCTTTTGAACTGCCCCCTCTAGAGCCCCAGCCAGGGTTGCTACTCCATCCCTAGACAGGTGCACCCCATCCCTAGCATAAAGGTCCCTTCTGCCATAGAAGTTGTCCCAGTTGTCAATGAATGGGACTGATATTGACTTGCAATATCTGTCAAGACGGTCGTTGACACCAACTGCCCTTGACAACCATTCACTGCCAACTCTCCTTCTAGGCAGGACACCGCATATGATAGGGATCCCTCCCTTAGTCCTAATATGATCTATGGCTGCCTTGAACTTATCAAGAAGTTCCTCGCTCCTACACCGGCCAATATCATTGCCTCCTGCACTGAGGCAGATAATGGGTTTGTTCCCATTGCCATCCTGTCAATTATATCCCCCACTCCAGCTCCTGGCAAACACACCCTCATCCTATTTTTGTTTTTACCACAAAAGGCCCTGTCCAAGTACCTTACAGTACCTGTGAGTCACCAACGATTAAAGTTTTTATACCTTCCTTGTCATCCCTGTCCCTGACTGTACTAACGTCCAATTCGTCTATCAAGGGATTGAACGGGCTGGTACACTTAGCTGTTGTTGTCGTTGTTGTCGTATCCTTGGTGTGCTTCTTCACCACCAGCTTTGTCTTCCCACTACTCACAACTTTCCACTCGCTTGAGTTTTCGTCAGACACTGGCTTTACTCGTCCAGCCTCTCCTTTTAACTTCGCCAGCTCTTTCCTTAATTTCAGGTTCTCCAACGTGGCCCTCTCAATTTCTAATTTGGCCATCGCCAATTCTTCAATGGACCACTCCAGTTTGGTCAACAAACTCTCATACCCAAGACCGCACATAGCACTGGCCATATCTGATAATTATCCCTCCCGAGCTAACCCTGCCGTGACCTTTCCCCTAGTGAGGTCAGAACACAACTGAGTGAGGTCAGAACACAACTTGTGCAGTGCCTTTCTCCAGCATTATTGAGCAGATCTAATGTCAGGTTTCTTAAAACCAAAATTTATGTTTACTTTTCGAGGTCATAAGTGTAATGTGAGGAGTGATGGCAAGGGTAGATGCTATTTTGGTGGTGTATCCTCCCCCACTCTTTTTTTTTCTTAAGAAAATAATTTTAGATTTAAAGAAAGGTAAAACTTCAGCTTGAAGGTACTGTACGTTGAAGCACCTGCAATAAGCTTTTCATAATATGTATCACATTTGATTCAGACATTTGCTGTGTCTACCTCCTCAGCCTTCATATTCTCAAACTGTATTTGTTGAAGAGTCTTGATGTTGACTTTTGGCAATTCCCTGCATTTGTATCGGAAAGTTACGTCATTAGTTGCTGTCATCAAACTAAATATATGAAAGTTCATAGAATGTCTGTATGTATACTTATTGTACAGTATTTGTTTTCATGACAAACAAAATCCCCCAACGTAAACAACTAAGGTTTACAGCATCTTGTTATTTTCTTATTAAAAAAAGAATATGTGTATGTGTCGAATATTTATGTATATGTTTGTGATGATAATATATTAAATTTTAACTTTATGGTTAATTGTATGTAAATATATTATTGTACTGTATATAAAAGTAACAGAATTAATATATCTCATACATACATACATAACAATAGCATATAAGTATTCTTTTCGCCTACCTGCAGCCTCTTTATCCATCATCTTAGGTTGAACATCTTGATCAAAGTTCATCTCTTAAGGTACAATACAGTAATACTTATGTAATGTTATAGTGTTTCCAATGTTCCTTATATACCTTCACAAATATTTCGTGGACAAAATTTAATTACCTACAGCATGTAATAATTTGTTTTAAAAATTATTTAACAGAACCTAATAATAATACAGTACATCAACATAATGTTGGCTAAGATTAGTTCTCAACTACAACTATTATAAAAATCCTGATATAAGTATCACCTAACATCATCAAAATATATTGTTTAAAGATGAAATTTTGCAGATGAAATGTTGCTTAATTAAAGCAGAAGTTTTAATATCAGGACATGAAAAGATTGTCAATAGTAACTAAAGAATTTTCTTTCATACTTATGTCACATGACTGTGATACCATTAGTACCCAGGGTTACTAGGTCACATCAGTTTGTGTCTTTTCTTAGTATTAAAAATCTAACTACATCCTTCAGTACTTTTTTATTATTAATTATTATTATTATTACAAGTAACATTATTATTATTGTGTGAAATTAATAAGTTTTTTAGTAAGTAATATTTGTGAGGCATACATAACCAAGTGAATTGTAGAGTATAGTGACAGTGAAGGAGTTGGCAGAGGAAGTCGTGTTGGATGACGTCCAGTAATTAAAAAAAAATCTCCCATTCCTTTGAATCCGGTTGGATACAAATTGTCCATAATCGTTCCTCTCCAACAGTTCTTAGTGCCGTTGTGTCATGAATATTATTGCTTGCTAATTATTATAAGCAGTGTCGGATTAACCTCTTCGGAGCCCAGGTGTTATATTATAAAGTTTAGGAATTCCCTTCTTTTACTTATAAAAACTGCGAGGTCCCTAGGGGTTAACTCCGCTAGATAACACGAATTTCAAAATCACAGTATGCAATTAACCACATTTTGGAAGTGATGAATTTGGGAGAAAAGAAATCTGCGTTTAGTGTTCGTTTTTACTGCAGGTTCCCTAGGCTGTGACCCTATCTTACTCTGGCCTTGAATATAAGATGTAATATTGTTATTTTTAAATGATATACAATATAAATGGCCTAAAAATAAACGGCAATTGTTGAAGAACGGAGTAGATAATTTGGGTAAATAAAAACAATGTTAATAAATAATTTATTTGTTTCCTTGGTTGGCACGCATACAACATTCACTCCTATGCCTACGAGCAAAAGTACTAGTGTTTATAAACTGGGAAATAACAATAAACTAGTGTTAACTACAATTATTAAGAGTAAGAGTCACAAGATCAAGAAAACCCTCTGATGATCTGGAATAAAATGTCATATTTAACACTTTAAGAAACCAACCTTATGTCTAAGAGTGCACATACACCGGATATCACGAAAGATGTTAAGTATATACTATATGTATGTTTTATTTGGTGTAGTAATTATAGTTATAGTGCACGGATGTGAGGAAATACTGTGACTGGCAGGGAAGGCCACGTCACTAACATCTTGTGGAAGGTACAACACCGGGAAATAAAGTTAACCTTTTCCCTGGCGAGAAATATATATCCAGTATATGTATACATACATATCGCACAAAGTACACATAAACCTAATGATAATAATAAATAAGGGAAAAATCTTGAAAATGACTGGATTATTTCACCATCTTCACTTACACGAAACAAATGTAGAACCATGTTATATACAGGTGGCACTGGACAAGTGTATCATCAACGCCTGATAGCTGGAAGGTAAGCAATATCTGTCCAACAAGGGTTGTGCATACACCAAAACTCGTGCCAAACATGTATCGACACCATCTTGGCAATACTTGGTAAAGTACGGCTGTATGTAATGGGGATTGTGATTGTTGGATCTGTTTTGGGCTGTATTACTGTCAAGATAAATATTCAACAATCCAAAGGTACAATTTTTATATTAAACTATTCATCGTTATTTAAGATCATGAGAAGTTGCCAAATATTCATAAATTTGCTTCAGTAATGTAGAATATTATATTAATGAATTGGCAACACAACTACAACCAGTGCTGCCACAATATTCCCACATCATCAAATTTCAACATCACATGATCCACATTCAATCTTGAGTGTTTCATGAAGAAATTCATTTTCTTTACAACGTGAGGATTATATGATATAATTTGACATAAGTTTAAGGGCAGATACTGTGCAATAGACTCAACTGACACAATAATTGCATATGTGAGTACAAGAGCCAGGGGTGGGGTCGATGCATCTTTGATTGGCTGTACCTGCCCGCTTCATGGCCTACTTGTCTTTGCCACTCAGTGGTGGTGATGTAAGCAAGCCAGGTGAATCCAGATTATTAACACAAGCTTTGCAACAATGCCCAGACCACTGTAGGCCGGAGATCCGTGGATCAGTGTGTACCTCAGTGTCTCACTTTCCCATATGAGTAAAGCCAACAACCAGCGCAGGTTTTTTAGCCTATCAGAAACAAAGTAGCAACATGCATATAATACCATGTTCTTTATTGTCTTTGATGCGGGTTTTAATTATCTTTTACTCGATAACTTTATAAGTACGGGTTTTTTTATTTCTTCCCCACAACTATACTTTTATCAGTTGCTAGTAGACATAATCTCCAAATTATTATGTAGTAACGAAAAGCAAATATCTCTTAAATATATTTGTAAGGGCATATTGACCCAAAGACAAATTTTCTGTCATTATTATGGAGTGGAAATATTAGATAAAACTGTGAATAAAGCGTGCAACTCTATCTGCAAGACTTTGATGCAATTTGGTATTGCCACTTGAATATGCTTCGTAGGCTTCTCCATCGACTTCACCTCCTTCAGTGGTATTAGTGCCCCTTGGGGGTGCTCCATCTGTAGGGGCTCTGACTACCACTGCAGGTACTTCATCTTTGATGTCCTCTGTAATTGTTCCAGTTTTATTTTTTGGGGGGGAGTCACTATCGTCTACAGTTGACAAAACAGCCTCACCCCCAGCAGAGTCTACAGATATTGTTGGATCATCAACATATTTATCTTCCACTTCCTTTTTTTCATCTTCTGCCTGGGATAATTTTTCATTGTTGGTGAGATCTTGGAAGGCTTCCCCGTTAATGCTAACCTTAACTGACCCGGCTGTTTCACTGGCTTCTGCCTCTGTTGTGCCCACCTCCCCTGCCTCGGCGTGTTCAACAGTATCACTAGAAGTAATAGTTCCTTCATCAGCCTGAGCAGCTTCATGTATTATTGGTGCCTCTGTGAAAATTTTATTCTCCTGTCCTGTGGATACATCTTTGATGGTCGTTTCTGCCTCGTTAGCTTCCACTCTTGGTGTTGTAGTCTGCACTTCCTCTGCTGCCTCGTTAGCTTCCACTCTTAGTGTTGTGGTCTGCACTTCCTCTGCTGCCTCGTTAGCTTCCACTCTTAGTGTTGTAGTCTGCACTTCCTCTGCTGCCTCGTTAGCTTCCACTCTTAGTGTTGTGGTCTGCACTTCCTCTGCTACCTCGTTAGCTTCCACTCTTAGTGTTGTAGTCTGCACTTCCTCTGCTGCCTCGTTAGCTTCCACTCTTGGTGTTGTAGTCTGCACTTCTCTGCTGCCTCGTTAGCTTCCTTGGTGTTGTAGTCTGCACTTCCTCTGCTGCCTCGTTAGCTTCCACTTTAGTGTTGTGGTCTGCACTTCCTCTGCTGCCTCGTTAGCTTCCACTCTTAGTGTTGTAGTCTGCACTTCCTCTGCTGCCTCGTTCCACTCTTAGTGTTGTGGTCTGCACTTCCTCTACTGCCTCGTTAGCTTCCACTCTTGGTGTTGTAGTCTGCACTTCCTCTGCTGCCTCGTTAGCTTCCACTCTTAGTGTTGTGGTCTGCACTTCCTCTGCTGCCTCGTTAGCTTCCACTCTTAGTGTTGTAGTCTGCACTTCCTCTGCTGCCTCTGTTAGCTTCCACTCTTAGTGTTGTGGTCTGCACTTCCTCTGCTGCCTCGTTAGCTTCCCTCTTGGTGTTGTAGTCTGCACTTCCTCTGCTGCCCTGTTAGCTTCCACTCTTAGTGTTGTAGTCTGCACTTCCTCTGCTGCCTCGTTAGCTTCCACTCTTAGTGTTGGTCTGCACTTCCTCTACTGCCTCGTTAGCTTCCACTCTTGGTGTTGTAGTCTGCACTTCCTCTGCTGCCTCGTTAGCTTCCACTCTTGGTGTTGTAGTCTGCACTTCCTCTACTGCCTCGTTAGCTTCCACTCTTAGTGTTGTGGTCTGCACTTCCTCTGCTGCCTCGTTAGCTTCCACTCTTGGTGTTGTGGTCTGCACTTCCTCTGCTGCCTCGTTAGCTTCCACTCTTAGTGTTGTGGTCTGCACTTCCTCTGCTGCCTCGTTAGCTTCCACTCTTAGTGTTGTGGTCTGCACTTCCTCTACTGCCTCGTTAGCTTCCACTCTTAGTGTTGTGGTCTGCACTTCCTCTGCTGCCTCGTTAGCTTCCACTCTTGGTGTTGTGGTCGGCTCTTCCTCATTTGTCGGCGTAATAGTTATAATTGATGAAGTTCCCTTGGATGCGCTTTTGATAGTCTCTTCCCCTCCGTCCTTCACTGGATATTTGGTTGCTGTAGGCGTGACCGCAGGTTGGGCAGTTCCCTGACTTTCATTATTACTTGTGTATTGTCCTGTGCCAGTTTCAGGAAGAGTCGCATAAATGTCTTCATTGTCATCTGCAACAGAGGGCAAATCATTAGGACACATGAATTTACCCTACTTTTGACACAAAGAAAAATATCCATCACTCCAGTGTAAATTTTTTTGGTGTTTTACTGAATATAAGAAGAATATAAAGGAAATATACTGCACTTTACAAATTGCTTTTTCATTAAGTTTTGAATGTTCAAATAAGGGTCTATGTAACAAGTATCCTGCCAAGTTATCTGTTGTCTATTTTGTATTTTTCTAAACCAATCTTGTTGACTTGACTAAAATTATACAAACTCAAACTTTCCTATTCTAGCCAAATTTATTACTGAATATATTTAAAGTCTGACCAAATTATGTTATTGGATCGCTATAACTTAAGCACATTAATTCAGATCTACCTACATATCCACTATTTTAATGTTGATAATCCAATTATCTGTATCATAACTTATACCAATTTAGTTCTGTCAAACTGAGAAAACCACTTTATTAATGCCGAGGTAGGGAACGAACTTGCTAACAGCGACAAACATTGATAGGTTGAAATGGCAGCCGAGAGAACGGGTATTACATCTGGGGGTGAATTATATGACCTCACACAATGTATCAAATGTATCAAACTAAACCAAGAGACAAGATTGGACCAATACTGTCAGATACCGGCGAGCTAATGGATAACGACAGAGAAATGAGAAATAATCAGAACAGATATTTTTCAACAGTTTTCACCACAGAAAATTTAAACATGATACCCGAGGCGCCGACTTTATACAGAGATAGTGAAGAAAATAGATTAAACGAGATGGTAGTGATTAAAAACGATGTTAGTAAGCAAATAGACAAACCTAATAAGTCACCAGGTTCCGATAAGATATTTGCCAGAGTATTGAAGGAATGTAAGGACGAGCTTAGTATGCCCTTAGCAAATTTGCTTAACATGTCCTTAAAAACGGGTGTAGTACCAGAATCTTGGAGGATATCGTATGTAATACCGATTTTTAAGAAGGGAGATAGATCACTATCCTCTAACTACCGTCTAATCAGTTTAACATAAATTGTAGGCAAATTACTGGAAGCAATAATTTCAAATATTATTCGAAATCACCTGGAGAAGCACAAATTGATCAATCATTCCCAACATGGCTTCACAAGTGGGCGTTCATGTCTGTCAAATCTATTAATATTCTTTTCATCGTTTCAAATCCATGGGCGAAGGCATGATTATGATGTGGTATACCTCAACTTTAGAAAAGCCTTCGACAAAGTCCCCCACGAAAGACTAACACGAAAAGTGGAGGCTCATGGAATTGGAGGAGATATTCTAAAACGAATTAAGGCGTGGCTACAGGACAGGAAACAGTAAGTAAGCATTAGCTGCACCAAATACAATTGGGGTAACATCACTAGTGGAGTACCCCAAGGCTCAGTACTTGGACCATTATTATTTATTATATACATAAACGACATCGATTTAGGCGTAGACAGCAACATAAGTAAATTTGCTGATGACACTAAAATAGGAGTGTAATTAAATATGACGAGGGCTCTGCAAAACTACAGGATGATCTAAATAAATTCTTTGCATGGTCTGAAAAATGGCAGATGAAATTTAATGTGGACAAATGTAAATTACTCAGTATAGGAGATGTAAACAGAGAAACCAGATACCAGATGAACAACGATGCCATAGAGAAATCCGACTGCGAGAGAGATTTAGGAATAATGATAAGTAGGAACCTTAAGCCAAGTAAACAATGTGTTTTTGCTCGTAACAAGGCTAATAAAGTACTTGGGTTCATACAAAGGAGTGTTAGTTACAAGACTAGCGAGGTCATCCTAAAACTGTATCTTGCTCTTGTGAGACCACACCTGGATTACTCAGTTCAGTTCTGGTCACCGTACTACAGAATGGATATTGAATCCCTAGAAAGAATTCGGAGGAGAATGACAAGACTAATCAAAGACATTAGGAACCATGAGTACAGAGACAGATTAAAGCATCTTAATTTCCACTCCCTCGAGAGACGTAGAGTGAGAGGCGATATGATAGAGGTGTATAAATGGAAGTCAGGGCTAAACAAAGGTGACATAACAAAGGTACTCAACTTATCCAACCAGAAGCGAACTCGTAGCAATGGTTTGAAATTAGACAAATTTTGATTTAGGCGCGAGAGAGGTAAACACTAGTTTGGAAATAGAGTAGTGGATGAATGGAAAAAGTTACCAAACATCATCATAAACTCAAATACACTGGATAGCTTCAAATATACGCTGGACGGATATATGAGCGATGGGGTTTAGGTGTAAACGGGACTTCCCAATATGGACCAATAGGCCCGCTGCATTTTTTTCCATTCTTATGTTCTTGCAATTATAATCGATGTGATATTCTCGTCACAGAACAGTTTCACACAGCAGCTAAGGAGCTTGCATTATATTCTACAATGTAAATATTATAGGGTATATAAAGGGTATTTCAGACAAAAAGGGTAATTTACTGCAAAGTACAGTACCTCTTGATACATAAAATACCTTTTTTCACACCTGCTGGGGTATATTGCTCTCCATAATACCTTTCTTCGGACACGGTCGTATATATTGAAGTCCATTATACCCTTTATGTTCCAATTGGTTCTTACATTATCACCTACGGATGATTTTTACTTTGTCTCCAGGTAATGTTTATTCATTATTTGTGAAATGCTTACAATATAACACTGAGTGGGAACCGAAACGTAAATATCCATAATTTTCTTAAAGAGTATTTTATTAGAATAGAATTAGTTTTATTGGGACATGAAGCATAACTGCTCATTAAAGTGGCCAGACACCACCTCACACTGCTTCTCCTCATTTACTTTGTAACTTAATGAGCTAAAAAATGGGAGTTTCAAAATTATTTCTGATTTATTACATGTGCTTCTCTACACCTGTACATGGGGAGGAGAGGAGAACATAACGGTAAAGGGGGAAGAAAGAGACAAAGCATAAAGGAATATTTAAAACACCTACGGTTGAGAATAGTGTGTTGATGGAGCCAATGAGTGCTGGGTTACTTCTTTTTCACAGCCAATCAGTGCCATGCTGATTGGAGCGGAGCCCGCCACGAAAGGCGGGGTTCTAAGTCATTATTTTTTTAGTTATTTTGTATTAAAAAGGGGAATATTTAAAGTGATAATAAGTTTGTCAGAGTAAAAATATTGACGAAGGGCGTGGGCATGCTGCAGAGAGTCATGACCTGTCATTGTGGGAAGAGAATTATTGCAAAGTGGGAATGTAATTTAATGAGTGTGCTCCAGGTCGTGAGTCTAGCACTATGTCGTATCCGGTTGTGTATGATGATACCACCTACTGTATAGTGTTTGTGGTACAGGAGGTCCTTGTTATAAGAGCAGTTTCGCAGTTAAGTGGTCAATTTTTTGTGACCATCCATGTAAAAAGTCCCTGCATTTAAGTGGATTCCACTCAAAAACTCTGAAAACTCCGGATAAAATCTACGGATTTAAAACTCCCGATAAAATATACGGATTTTTAGCCGAAGCGTTTGAAATTTCTTCCTTTTCCTGGCGTCATGCATGCACACACGTCCCAGCACCAGTCTCCCACTCTGTTTCGTCCAGACTAGTACTGTGTTGTGTTTATGCCTGCTTTTGTTGTGTTTTTTCATGCTAGTTGTAGTGAATTAATTTATCATTTTTGTAGCCATGAGTTTCCAAACCAAAAGAAAGCACATAAACTTTAGTATAGATGTAAAATTAGATGTGATTAGACGAAAGAAGGGTAGGACTGGACATTCCACCTAGTCCTTTCTTTTTCAACCTCTGACTAATCCTCCATCCCCCAACACCCACCACTAACGCCAAACATCTCTACCTTTGAAGCGAAGTATGAAAAAAAAAAAGTCTAATAAATATTTTGTCTCAATGAACCACTGGAGTGAGTGCTCACCAGCAACGGTTGCTGCGGACTACCAGGTCGCTGGCACAACCTACGTTGCACACATCGTCCCCAATGAACTTTAAGGACATTAAATAACTTATAAAGTAAAATAATTTCTTAAAATAATATATCAAATGTATAACAAATGGTTCTAAGGTAAATTTTTTTTAAATATATCATAAAATTCTCTTGAGTGTCGAGTACAATGCCATGGTCCCAATTTGGCCTATTTCCATTATTTCTTATGGGATCAATTCCCCGCTTTAAGTGGTACCACTGACATGATCTTTGCTGCCCGCCATATACAGGAAAAGTACAGAGAACAGCGTCGTGACCTGTACATGGCCTTCATCGACCTAACCAAGGCCTTCAACTTGGTCAACAGGGAAGCCCTCTGGCGAACCATCAGCCATTTTGGCTGCCCACCAAAATTCATTGCCATCGTGAGGCAACTCTACGATGGCATGAACGGCAGTGTCCTGCAAAATGGCACCCAGTCTGAATTCTTCCCCATCCAAACGGGGGGTAAAACAAGGATGTGTACTGGCACCAACTCTCTTTTCCATTTTCTTGGTTACCTTCCTTACTCGTGCCAGTGCCAATTTAGCCGGCGGGGTGGACATCGAGTACCGGATGAAGGATCTTTTCAACATTTAAGACGACTCCAGGCAGGAACAAAGGTGTCAGCAGCTTCCATTACTGAACTTCAGTATGCAGACGACCTCACCCTTGTCACTCACACTGAACATTACCTCCAGGAGATCCTGAACACCTAGGCAGATGCGTATGCACACTTCGGCCTTCAGGTGAATGTACTTAAGACTCAGATTCTCTTCAGCCTACCCCTGGTTCAGCCACACCTTCACCATTCATTCAGCTCAACGGTACTACCCTCTCTAATGTTACCCACTTTCGGTATCTCGGCTCCCACCTGTCCACCACCGCTGACATCGATGAAGAGATTCAACATCGGATCAGAAGTGCTTCTCAAGACTTTGGCAGACTCCGTACCCGTGTCTTCAGCTGTAGGGAGCTGAAATTATCTACGAAGTTGCACGTATATCGGAAACGAGACATGGGTCACATACAGGATGCACCTCAAGGCACTTGAAAACTTTCACCAACGTAGTCTACGTTCGATCCTCTGTGTTTAGTGGGAAGACAAGAGAACAAGTGCCAGTATTCTTGCTGACACCAAGTGTAGAAGCATCGAGGCGACCATTTGACTTAGTTGTGCTTTATTTGAGTATGTAAGTCATCTTGTAATGTAACTGAACTTATTATCACGTGTTAATTAATTGTCCATGCACCATTAGTTTCCTTGCACAAGACGCATTTTTGTGAAATTTTGTTTTAACCTATGATTCTGGCTGCGATATCCTTCATAAACCAGACGCTGTGTCTGTGTTGACGGCTACCGGGAATCGGTAGCCAGCTGCAGGCAGGATTTACTCGAGTAAACAGGGATTGAGATCTGAATGGGTGGCGCGCCTGGCTGCAGATTCATAGACTTAGGTCTGCAGCGGTGCACGGACTGAACCCGGAGCCTGGACTCTTGTGTCACTAAGCATGAGCCTGGAGATGGTTTGACTGAGTGTGAACCTTAAGCAGTGTTTGAATCCAAGTTGGCATGAGCCCTGTGTACCCATCATTATTTCTACCCCTACACCAGTTCACCCAGCTGTAAACTGGTACCTAAATTTACAACTTGAGGAAGTGAATGTGGTTGAGTGCAGTACCGACCATGCTGTCTCCTAGTGTACCGAAGGTATATTATACAGTGTGTTGCATCCACACTGCCCTTAACGGGCAGTCATACCTATGGCACCCAGTTTCACTTTTCACTTGTAGAGCTCGAGAAACCACTCCGGAAATCAATTTGCACAGCGAGGAGATGCCAACAATATTTTTTGAACACAAAAAATCATATACTTTTGCACAGGAATTTCTTCTTGACTATTACTTGTAGTAATACAGAAATCAAACATTCGGAAAGGATCAACAGCTGTACTGCAAACAGCACAATTTGAACTAGGGATTTTAATTCCTCGATCATTTCCATGAAAACTTATGAAGCACAACAGAATTCTCCCGCCTGTATTTAGTTTATTTGTATACGTTCTATAGGTACTAATAGAATATGGTGTTGTTATTGGTGATAACACCTGACGGAGAACAGTGGTCGTGGGATGCACAGCAAATGCCGGGGATGTGGTGGCCCTCGCAGTCGTGCCTCCACTCGCAGACGACCACAGAGCACACGATATCCCCTCCCGTGCAGTGACATGTCTCACAGGGATTATTTGGATCCACTACTTGCTCGCCAGTCTGGTACACCACCCCGTATCTCTCGCAGTCTGAAGGGAGGAGTGTACGTCACAAACTGTCAAGGGAAGTGATTGGGGGCAAAATTTGGGCGAGATGGGTGGAGATGTCATGCTGTGGATCTTAGTTGGTGTGCTCATCAGAAGGTATCCAAGGATAGAAACAAGTGAAGGTTGGGTAGGGAGGATGGGTTGTATTGATGAGTGTCTTGTGGGATACCATAAATGAAGGTAGTCGGTGACTTGGTCATTGACTGGCTTATAGGGATGTTTATTACCTATGATATTACCTGTTTGTGTCTTTACTGTAGTTGCTTAACAAATTAATGGCTCCTTCACACCTTCAAAAATTACACTAGCTACTTCTGTATCGAGCTTTCTTAAATTTTAATAGTTCGGGCAGCTTGTTACTTCCTAATGCACAGCAGTCCGTTCTCGCTCTTTATTGGTCCATGAGTAAAACACAGTAAGTGGACCAAACATTTTTACTTATGCAGAAAATACCTCAACAAAAGGACCACCTCAAGAATCGACTGGATAAGGTTCTTGGGCAATGAAAAAAAAATTAGGGGAGGAATATTTGGCCTGGAATTCACTTATAAGAGCTATAGGTTATTACTTAGCGACTTATTTTACTTTGAAAGTCCTGTTCCCCAATGCCATTTTTTTTTATTTTACACACACCTCAGAACCTACCCATAGGCTCCCACGCATGGCCAAGCCAAGCCAAATTACCACGGCCATGAACGGAAAATACAACTGCAGGCGTCCAATTAAGAGGCATTAAGATATATTTTATTAGTGTGTGATTTTTGACCTGTGGTGGTATACCTGTATATTGCTCAGGTGCGTGGAGAGCCAACGTCCGCAGTGGTTGTAGGAGGCGGTAGTAAAGTCTCATAACTAGGAACACTCATCTGACCTCAACCACACACTAGTATGTCTGCAAGAGTCGACTAGGAACCAATACAGTTTCACACAGTTCATTACAACAGGATCCACGAAAAGTATATGAATATTTACGACTAAAATGCTAATGAATGGACAAAATTAACATAAATGGCTTTATTGGAATAAGATTTCGTCAGAAGTTAACCATCTGATAGTAATTTGTTTCTTTGTCCAACTTTTCGTAACTAGATGTAATTCATATTTTTGTATGACTAGTTTCTGTAACTAAACCGGAATTCGCACTTAAAAGACCTGAATTGTAGAAGCACGGTAATGCATTATAACATCAGCCACGTCCACATACTCAAGTCTGATTTCATATGATGATAGTGTTGATCTTTATTAAGTACTTCTGCCCTTTTATCGGTTATGTTTTCGACTTAATCGGTAACAGTATTAACACTACCCGTCAATGAAGGCAAAACCTAACGTAACCTAACCGGAGTGAGCTTGGTGCCTTAGTGGAATATACTGCCTCTGTGGTTCAATACAGTGGCGTGTGGGAAACAAGAGTTGCAACATAGCCGCCTGTATATCTACCAATAGTGTTCGTGTAAAGGGGAGTAAAATGAATATCAGTGTATTGCTCTATTGTCATTTTTGTTGTTTCTGTGGTTATGATATGTGAAGTACTAAATATTCCACAAACCACAGTCGCACTAGACCACAAAAAACCACTTGCGGATAAAATTATTCAACACTAATTTCTTTACGTACGCTTCTGTACAATGACAAAAAGCCCCGGGGATATGTTTATGTGTATAGGTCAATGGTTTTTGCATTACAGTATTAGTTTTGATTCACAAATATATTAATACTGGGAGTCAGAGGGTTAGTTAACAAGTAACTTAGGAGAGTTTTTATATCGAAGAAAACTTCTTTCTTACCTCAAGAATGTCGCCCAAAGTAATGACGATTTGCTATTTTCGTGATATTTTTTGTTTTTCGTTCTCAACTCTATTTTACATTGGCGCGCTACTTCTTGGTGACGCCATTATTGACTGTTTTAACCTGAACGTGGAAGGTTTCAGAGACAGGAACGCTTCCCAGCGACTGTTCCAAACATTCACACATCCGGCGACTATACTACATTACGTGATTTATCGTAGAGAATGTGAACCAATCAAACCTACAATATTTTAAGTTAGGTTAGGTAGGTTTTGGTTAGGTAAGGTATAAAAGGTTTGCTGATAAGTGTTTGGTGATCGGGAAACGTTCTATCGGTCGCTGCTAAGTGTTGGTCACTTGTTGAAGTGCTACACACGACGTCCTCGAGTGGATAGAACAGATTTATTTTTAACAAAAACTAAGGAAAAACAATTTTATGAAAATTGCAAATCCTGATTTTGGTTATGTTTTTAAGGTAAGAATGAAGTTAATTTAGCTGCTTTACAAAAACTTTCTGAAGATGCGGGTTAGCACGTTCTCCCACGCCAGAGTATTATTCCAAACCTCTCAACAATGTGCTTTGTTTTGTAGTTGACAGTTTTTCCTCAAGAGTATGACTTTATGAAACTTTAATGTTGATCTAGGAAAATTAATTAGATTGTATTTAAATATCGAAAACGGTATGTCGTATTAATATTTTGGCTTCGCAAAGTAAACATTAAGGCGAGTTCATTTAGCAAATTTTTCATGATATCGCATAAGGAAACGTAATCAGAGCATTTTTTTAATATTGAATATTAGTGTCAAATCATTGTGCATCATAATTTTCAAATTGGTGCAGACAAACTTTATGTGGGATATGTGCAATAAAGAATTGTGTACTTCACAAGTGCTGGTAAATGATAGAGAACTCACCACACTGGTACTCTGGACAGCACTCGTCAGCTTGCTGGATGGCTCGGCAGCCAGGATTGAATAAACAATCTATCCTCTTACAAGCAAACCCTGGCGGCGTGCACTGGCATTCCTCACAAGGGTCCGCCGTCGGTATAAACTCCCCACGTTCATACAAAATCCCGTCGACGCTACAGACTTTAAAGAAAACGGAGTTATTGTTAAGTTACAGAAAACGACAGGGTAGAATTACTGGTAACCTCAACTAATACAATTATAAATCCGCGAAAACGAACAAACGAATATTAATTTAAATAATCATTATTAATCAGATATGTACTGAACTGGATTAACGCTGTTATAGAGACATGTGATGCATAATTTCTTTCTCATACGTTATCTGTAGACTGAGTTAGCCAGTGCTTGTTATAGTGGGGAGCCTTGACCAATGATCACTGGTTCAGTGACCTAACCTATGTTGTGGGGACATAATTTGATAAGGACTTCCCAAACTTAAGACATTATGTCACCAATAAGCAAGGTAAAGGCTTCACTCAACCTTAGATCCAAGAAATTTCCCCAACGTTCATATTCTCTTATCAATTAATACTCGTGGTTTCTGCCAAAATAAATGTTATCTAATTATGGTTGGCAATTTGAGGAGAGTCAAGTATCGCACAAAATAACTCGTTACAGACAACCAACGTGTTTATATAATTACAACTCTGTGTTCCCAACGTGCCACTCCTGGGGGTCGTGGGAATGGGACAGATAAACAAATGGAGTAGAAAGCCTTATCTTGTCTGCACATTAATACTGGTCTACATAATCTCTTATGATTTATATTACAGCGCAATAACAAAACAAAATAATTTCTCAATATAGTGTGTCCGTTTTCTATGGTGTTTTATCAGAGAAAATTATAAGCGCTTCAAAGGGGTAACTTGTATAGTGTATATACTGTGTGATTTTTGTACGAATTACACCAGAGTCTATGCATATAGCCTTAGGTCTATATATAGATAAGATTAAGGGGGAAAATTCAAGGATTCTATATGATTGTTTGGAAAGCGTAATTGCTATGTTATAGTGTAATATAGTGAACAGAGTAATGGTGTTAATATGAACTGTATTGTGTGTTTACGTCTGTGTGAGGTTAAATATACGTATTACTATATAAATTCTTTTGTGTTTGAGAATGTGTTTTTTTTTCGCCATTTGAATATTACTTTGTAGTGCTAATACTGTTGCTGGATTATTCCCTCCTAACTCTAACAGTTCACGCCTCTGTAGTATCGTCAACACATTCGCGCTCAACGTGTGGGACAACAGGTAGGAAGGTCACGGCATGTGTGGAAAGTTCTTCAACTCACAGACAAATATACAATGTTATGGCAGCTGAACTAATGGTAGGTCGTAACCTAATATTATTAACATTTTAGGCCCGTTATGATCTATGGAATACCATACATTGTAACGAACTTATCTTCAGATTATTATTATTATTATTCATACTTACTATGTACACATCATACTATTAACCTTCTAAAGTTGTGTACAGTAAGGTGTGTGTAGTAAGGTGTGTACAGTAAGGTGTATACAGTAAGGTGTGTACAGTAAGGTGTGTGCAGTAAGGTGCGTACAGTAAGGTGTGTACAGTAAGGTGTATACAGTAAGGTGTGTACAGTAAGGTGTGTGCAGTAAGGTGCGTACAGTAAGGTGTGTGCAGTAAGGTGTGTGCAGTAAGGTGCGTACATACCTGGGGTGCTGTCTACGTAGGTCACTTTGACTTGGTCGGAGGAGCCCAACTTTCGCGAGATGGGAGCTGTAGATCAGAGAAATCTTTAATTACCTCAACACAAAACATACGTCAAGATCAACTGCATGATTACACCAATTACAAGTAACTACAGAATGTCATGTCAACACACTCAATTGTTAACCCTTATAAAGAAAACTCCTTATATAGAGTGTACTCTTGTAGTGATTTATGTGAGTGTGAATGTATTGTGGTGAAGATCTCTCAGTTTTTAACAAGTTTCGAGTATAAGTCATGGGATGTGGTGGACTATGGTGAATGTATTTAATTTTGCGTACAGTAATTAGTTTTCTCTGTACTGAACTTGTGGTATACGTGTCGAGATTAAACGGAAGGGGATCTTCTAGAGGTTGGGGGGTGTCAATATCTTACCTGGGTATTAGACAAAGCCTCCGAGGACGACAAACACTCAATTAAAGTGAAAAGTAAGACAAAAGTCCCCACTTTTTTATATGTGTATTTGTTTTTAAGATCCCTATCTAGGTACACATAATAGTGATGCTATAAGGCAGATATGTAACCTATTTCAAGGTATGGATGTCATGCCTCAGAGTGGGGTAATTGGGGAATAATTTGTTTGGGTAATACTCACTCGCTCCCACGACAGCCACCCCCACGACCATGAGCAGAATAGTACGCCACATCGCTGCCTGCAAGAACAAGAAACAAGAGTTAGTTGGTGAGACAAATTATATAAAATAAAAAGTTTTAAAATACTGTACTGTTATACCAGGTGAAAAGTGGCTTAATGAGACCCTAGACTGAATATTTGTAATTTTATACATACTGTACATAAGAACATAAGAATGGAGGAAACTGCAGCGGGCCTATTGGCCCATACTGGGCAGTCCCGTTTACACCCAACCCCTATTGCTCATATAAGCATCCAACCTATGTTTGAAGCTATTCAGCGTATTCGAGTTAATGATGATATTTGGTAACTTGTTCCATTCATCCAATACTCTGTTTCCAAGCCAGTGTTTACCTATTTCACGCCTAAATCTAAATTTGTCTAATTTAAAACCATTGTTACGAGTTCGCTCCTGGTTGGATAGTTTGAGTACCTTTGTAATGTCCCCTTTGTTTAGCCCTGCCTTCCACTTATACAGTATACCTCTATCAGGTCGCCCCTTGCTCTACGTCTCTCGAGGGAGTGCAAATTAAGATGCTTTAACCTGTCTCTATACTCAAGGTTCCTAATGCCCGGGATTAGTCTTGTCATTCTCCTCTGAATTCTTTCCAAGGATTCTATATCCATTCTGTAATACGGTGACCAGAACTGAACTGCATAACCCAGGTGTGGTCTCACAAGAGCAAGATACAGTTATAGGATGACCTCGCTAGTCTTGTAACTAACACTCCTTTGTATGAAACCAAGTACTTTATTAGCCTTGTTACGAGCAAAAACACATTGTTTACTTGGCTTAAGGTTCCTACTTATCATTACTCCTAAATCTCTCTCGCAGTCGGATTTCTCTATGGCATCGTTGTTCATCTGGTATCTGGTTTCCATGTTTACATCTCCTATACTGAGTACTTTACATTTGTCCACGTTGAATTTCATCTGCCATTTTTCAGACCATTCGAAAAATTTGTTTAGATCTTCCTGTAGTTTTGCGGAGTCCTTGTCAGATTTAATAACGCGTCCTATTTTAGTGTCATCAGCAAATTTGCTTATGTTGCTGTCTATGCCGATATCTATGTCGTTTATTTATATAATAATAAATAATAATGGTCCAAGTACTGAGCCTTGGGGAACTCCACTTGTGACGTTGCTCCAATGGGACTTAGTGCCATTAATGCTCACTAGCTGTTTCCTGTCCTGTAACCACGCCCTAATCCATTTAAGGATATTTCCTTTGATGCCATGTGCTTCTCCCTTTCTAATTAGTCTTTCGTGGGGGACTCTGTCGAAGGCTTTCCTAAAGTCGAGATATACCACATCATAATTGTGCCCCTCGTCCACCGATTCGAAAACTGATGAAAAGAATGTTAATAAATTAGTTAGACATGAACATCCGCTTGTGAAGCAATGCTGGGAATCATTGATCAATCGGTGCTTCTCCAGGTGATTTCGAATAGAGTTTGAAATGATTGCTTCCAGTAATTTGCCTACTATTGATGTTAGACTGATTGGGCGGTAGTTAGAGGATAGTGATCTATCCCCCTTCTCGAAAATCGGTATTACATTCGCTATCCTCCAGGATTCTGGTACTACACCTGTTTTTAAGGACATGTTAAACAACTTTGCTAAGGGCATACTAAGCTCTTCCTTACACTCCTTTAATACTCTGGCAAATATCACATCGGGACCAGGTGACTTATTAGGCTTTAGTTTGTCTATTTGCTTACTAACATCGTTACTAGTCACTACTATCTCGCTTAATTTGTTTTCTTCACTATCTCTGAATAGAGTCGGTGCCCCGGGTATCATGTTTCAATTTTCGGTGGTGAAAACTGTTGAAAAATATTTATTCAAATTATTGCTCATTTCTCTGTCGTTATCAGTGAGCTCACCAGTATCTGACCGTATTGGTCCAATCTTTTCTCGTGTTTTAGTTTGATACATTTGGTAGAATCCTTTGGGGTTTGTCTTCGCCTCCCTTGCTATCCTTACCTCATTATTCCTCTTGGCTTTCCTTTTCTCGGTTTTAACCCTACTCACCAATACCCTATAATAATCCCGGAGGTAAATTTCGCCACGATTTATCCTTCTATCTATAGCCTTCCTTTGGCCAATGATGTTCTTTAAATAATTATTTATCCACTTAGGGTCATTGTTGTCTGATCTGAGTTTTTTGTATGGTATGTTCTGCCTTTGTGCATTAAGTAACTCATTATTTGAATTGTCGTGGAACTCGGCAATCTCAGATCTCGTTATCAGGTCGGTGTCATATGTCAGGTTCACGGCCAAGCGCGACATCCCCTCTCTCAGCTGCCTTTTTAAACTGTCAAAGTTTGCCCTTCTGAAATCTGGTACTTCAGTGGAATTTTCCTTACGTCTGCCCTGAAAATCTAACTGGAATCTAATTTCTTTGTGATCGCTGTTTGCAAGTTCGTTCCCTACCTCGACATTGCGAATGAGGTTTTCTCTGTTTGACAGAACTAAATCGAGTATATTATTACCCCGGGTGGGTTCGGTTATATGTCGACTTAGAAAACAATCCTGGATCGTCTCGAGAAAATCCTCTGATTCTGAGTTACCCGTAAGGTCAGTCCAATCTATTTGGCCAAGGTTAAAGTCGCCTACACTACAGACTTTGTTGTGTATGGAAGCCCTGCGCATTTCATCCCAGATAAGTCGCTCATTGACTCTATCAAGATTGGGAGGTCTATATATTACTCCTGTGATTAATTTTTTCCTACCGTCGATTAATTCTATCCAAATTGTTTCTGTATTCCGCTCAGTTTTTATTTCCTTATTAATTTCACACTTCAGATTATCCCTAACATAGATTGCTACTCCGCCTCCTTTCCTGGTCTGCCTATCGGTGTGGAACAGTTTGTAACCCGCAATTTGGTATTCGACCGGTAACTCACGTGTGTCTAGGTTGATCCATGTTTCAGTGAATGCTATTATATCGATTTTTTCGGTACATACCAAGGCCCTAATATTATCCATTTTGTTTCTCATACTTCTACTGTTCGCGTAGTAGACGTTTAAGTTAGTCGTGTTCGGAGTCCTCCCTTTACCGCGTTTAGTTTTAAACTCCCTGTCTAATTTAGTTTTGTCATCATTCCTAACACTATTTCCCTGTAATCTTTCACTTTGTTTACCCGCTCCCACTGCAGTCTCCTCCACCCCCATGCTCATATGTTCTCCTAGAGTGATAGTTTGTGATGTAGACTGTTGTTATAGAGTGCACTGTGTATATATGATTTAGTTGAGTCAGTTTGAGATAAAACCAATATGTCGTGGTCTTAGCTCTGATTTTTGTTTTCGTGTAGAACATATTTTGATTTTGCAGTGAGGTTTTGAGAAGAGAACAGTACGAGGCACACACACACACACACACACACACACATTACGACCAATCAGATTACTAGAAGAAAAATCCTCTCCGCAAAAAGTCATCAATAAAAGTTGTATCACATTCGACACCTTCAACACAGTAGGAACAGAGTCAGAGCCAGGGGCGGTAAGTGATTGGATCGTGTACGCACCACTACTACCACCACTCCCACCACCACTCCCACCACTACTACCACCACTCCCACCACTACTACCACCACTTCCACACTCCCACTACTACCACCACTCCCACCACCACTACCACCACTCCCACTACTACTACCACCACTCCCACCACCACTACCACCACTCCCACTACTACCACCACCACTCCCACCACCACTCCCACCTCCCAACCTGCCAGGTCTCAGATACTTTATCTCCCCCGCTCTTACATAGTTGTCTGGCCGGTTTCTGGTAAGTGACGTTACTTCTACTCGGTGGTCAAGGAGTAGTGTGACGGTGCGCTAAAGTACTCCACTCCCCACTTGGGCACACCCTGTCAAGCCTCCCCGTGGGCGTTCCTTGTTTTCTTTGGCCACTTGTTTCTCTCATCAGTCTTCCTAACACACACATGCACACACACACACACACACACACAAACACACATCTAACCTAATTTCCCCAGGTAGTTTTAGTGCATTTAATCATTCAGTAAATTAAGCTGGGGGGGGGGGTGCTAATCTTCAAGTGACCCTTTCCTCCTAAATCCTCACGATGGAATCTATGAATAGACACGAGGCGAGTTAGTGAGTGTGGGGTCAGGTCGAAGGTAGTCAAACGGCAAGGTGTTGTGGGCAGGCTCACAGGCAGATGACCGACCCAGCCAGTGGACAGGTATGCGGAAGACGGTAGCTCACTCACTCCTTCACATCCCCCACCACGCCCTGACCTATTTTTCGCGATGACCTACTATTTCACCCTCCCCACCACCCCCCCACACATACATCACATAATTCCATTAGGAATACTGTGACTAGTAGGAATATATTATGAATTATAAATTATATTCGGAATGTTTTATTATAAAGATTACTGACTGTTTCCTCTCAGACTCATGTCACGTGATTATTAAGCTTGTCAGCCTGACTTACTGACAGGATCTAAGAATACATAATTTTTTCCTGAATACGAATATAAATGATTAACATTTTATTTTATATTAATACCAATTAAAATAATAAACTTCGTTTGTTAATCCTAATATACCTACATAGTTTATTACTATAATTCACCTAATATATTTCATAGATAATAATCACAGTATTTATAATAAAATTTGTGATGTACGGACGATTTTTAGCTATAATCGTCCATGTGGGGTGACGACACCTACAGGCCTGGGTGTGGGGCAGACCTACAGTGTGACGATTAACCTTAGAAAAATTCGAGAAGACCATTACATAGTTGAGGCTGATCATGTGTACAGTGAGTAAACACCGTGCAATAACCTTCTTCCTCTCTCACTCTTACAGCGACCATCTCCCTCACGGCTATCCGAAAGTGATGACTTGTATGCAAATTACTTCTCAGTAAATGTGAGGCATAATTATACAATCCCCTACAAAGTGAGTTACGAGTTTAGGGTCGATGAGGCTGTTATGGTCGAGGATTGATGTGGGATTCTATTATTCTACA